GGGGGGGGGGGTAGGGGGGGGAAAAAAACGCCGACATTTGTTTTTGATGTTTGTTTGTCTGCCGAAATATGCAGCCTCGGGCTTTGCTCGAGCGCGCCCAAGCAACATGACTGCACGCTACACACAATCTGGGAACACTAGTGAAACAACGGTGGCTATGTAATACCGGTAGAATTCCCGTGACGCTCTCTTTTCAGAGCTGCTCTTTTTTTTGTTTTTTAATCACATTCCTTTTCCTCCCCCGTCCATTTTCTCGTCCTCATGACGGCGACTCGCTTGAACCCCGCCCCCCGCCCCCCGCCCCCCCGGGCGTCACGGCTTTGTTTGTCTGTTCCACCAGCGATCGACACGCCTGCGTGACGTCGGCATTGTCGAAGGTGTTGCTCACGGTGTCTCGGATGTCCGCCGGGGCGCTGCTGCCAAGCATGGCCTGCTGCATCCTGTCCAAGTGCTACGCCACGAGATACTTCCTCCACCACAGCTGGCTCGCCGTCGTCGTTAGCTTCGAGCCCGCGCACGAGCTCCACACATGTGAGAGATACTGATAATGTACGGTGGCATACATACAAAGCGAGCGTGGCGTGCTGCTGGTGCATGGCATCATGCAGTGACTGGCAGGCTTTTCGCAAGAGACTGGAGGGTCTGAGATGAACGCGCGTAAGAACGGTCTCCATGGTAGTTGTTTCATGGGCGTCTGCATGGCAAAGGCCACACACAGCAGTGCTCCCCCTCCTCACCCGCGTGGGGCTTGTCTCCAACCTGTCTTTTTGTCGAGCAGTCTTCGGGTCGTTGACGCTGCTGTTCGGCGTGTTGCACGGCCTGGCCCACCTGGCGAGAGAAGTCAACGAGGGCAACTGGAACTTTTTCGCCTCGCCCATGGGCCGCTCTGGGTTCGTTGCCCTCGTCCTGCTGTTCCCCATCGCCGTGCCGATGCTGCTTGGACGTCCGAAGAAGCTGGTGAGTTACGCGAGCTCTAGGAGCGAAGGCATCATCGACTAATAGCTAGAGAGCGGGATTGTTCAGGAGGGTTGGGTGCGTCCACCGAAGTTTTGGGGGTAATGCGGCGGGTCCCCTTAGCTCTGCACCCTTGTAAAAAGTTCAAGGGCATGCCAGGGTTTTTCAGCAGCTACGGTCATGGGTGTGCTGAGTTATGGAGACAACGGCAGTTAGTTCAAGAACCGACGACGCCCGCATGTACGGCCAACCGAAGTTTTGTTATTTGCATCGCCATTGGTTTTTGGTCTTGCGTGCCCGGTGCTTCTTCCTAGTCGACCCTCCTCTCAGCGCGCGCGCGGGGGGAGGGGGCGGCGGGGGGGGGGCTCCGAGTGCGCAGGCGTAGCTGGGGCCTCGACCGCCTGAGGGCTGTTTTTTTCTGTTCTCGGAGCAGGCAAATTGTTCATGCGGGACGGGGTGAGGGAGGCTCCTGCTTTAAGAGCGCTGTCCTCCCCTTGCCCTTGCCATCCCTGCTTGTTTTGCAGCACGCACGCTTGCGGCGAAGAAGTAGCATGCGGTGCCCTACATCTTGTGTTGTCCCGGAGAAATAACCAATAGACAGGGGGCGGGGGCGGGCGGAGACTGACAGCGTGAACAGCAGTCAGTAGCTCGGCCTCCGGTCTCGGTGGCCACCAGCTAACCCGGCGGACCCCCATACGCCCCGCAATAAATAGATGGTTATTTCGTTTAGTTTTTGCGCGGCCTTGTGCTCAGATGACGTTCGAGTTCCGCAAGGCTCTCCATATGCTGTTCATTCCCTTCATGGTGGCCATGTGCTTCCACGGAAAGGTCCTGGCGGTGCTGGCCGGCATCCTGGTGGCCTGGTACCTCGTTGACCGAACGTACTTCACGACCAGGATGTGAGAGCTCGCCGACGGGACGGCGACCCGGAGGAAGGACTTGACGTGACGCGATTGTTGCTTCGTTTTTTTGTGGGGTCTTTTCCCGACACACAGAGGGAGGGAGATTTTCACCAGAGTAATTTTCGTTGGACAGAAACGGGGCTTCTCAAGAGAGAGAGGAAAGGATAGAGGGTGGGGGGGGAACTGAGGGAGAGAGAAAAAGAGACAGAGCGGCAGAGAGAAAGAGAGATAGAGAGAGAGAAAAAGAGAGTGTTGATGGCTACGGCGGATGTAATCAAGCATCACAGACCGCGATAGTGCGAGCCAGTGCCCCCTGAGTACCGGTTATGCGGCCACGACCGCTGATCGTGTCACGTCATGCACGCTCAAGCGATAACTCGGCCTGACTCTCCTACCCAGGTTATGTCGTGCCTGATCTTGACAACATTTCCCTTTTCCGTCGTTGCCTTTGGTGCTCTCTGGCCGTGTACACGATGCGGCGGGATTGTATTGATGCGGCGAAACCAGGCACTTCTGCATCGAGCGGGCAGTCTTCAGGCCAGTGGGGAGAGCGACGCTCGTACGGTTTGACCTCCCACCGTAAGTATCATAGGTCCTCCACCGCGCTGTGGGTGCTGGCGTCTCGCGTTGTATTTCAGCGTAAACCATGCGTTCGTGTTGTAGAGGGAGGCGCCCCTTGTTCCTCGTAGTGCCCTAGATGCTTTAGCCAAAACCTATGCACAAGTGTTGCCGTATTGTATCGCTTGTTTTACGGCTTGCGCCTCCATCTCAGCTCCCACACCCTTCCCCTCGAAAACACACGAAAACGCGATTCTGGCGCTCTTCAACCGCCATCATCTTTTTTCGCGCGTGCGGTTACCATGTTTCGGCGCGCGCGTTTGTGTTTCCAGCGGGTACCAGTTCAACGTCGGCAGCTACATCCAGGTGAACTGTCCGGCCATCAGCGCGAAGGAGTGGCACCCGTTCTCCATGTTTCCGGTGCCCGGCCCGCGTCCAAGGGGCGGCTTCTACGTCGAAGCGGTGCGAACATGCACCCGCCCTTCAGCTATTCTTGAAACGTGAAACGCCCCCACTCAAGAGCTTGGCAGTTGCGGTCTTCGATGGAATCAGACACACATGGTAACCAGAGCACCATCTTTTGCCGGGTTAAGACCCTTGCACTAAAACCTATCTAGCGGCCATGTGTGGCAGCCCACACGAGGAACTAAAGAGCATCAGCCTCTGCCAAGAAAACTATGGGATTGTTCTCAAGCGCGGGGGGCTTTTCTGTACTCTTTGCTGAAACCCTTGTGACGAGCTGACGGTTTCTCGAGCGGAGCCTCCCCGCCCCCAGCATCCTTTTTTTCTGGCTCAGTTTTTTGGAAGCACCGACCGCGGCGGGGGTTTTGCAGCAATTTGGGCCAGGGGAGCCAGTTGAGGGAGGAAGCGGGAATTGGCAATCGGGTTGGAGATGCCCTGACGCGTGTCAGTCGCCGCACCAGTCCTCGTCCAGACGAAACAAGCAACACCCGACAAACCTTGGGCCTGTCTTTTCCGGCGTTTTGTTGTGTGTTTTCTTGATTTTGCCAGGTGGGTGACTGGACTCAGGAGCTTTTCCGACTCAGCCTGGAAGACCCTTGCATGCCGCTGTGGATCACGGCCGCTCAGCCCAGCGTCCTCGAGAAGAGCGTCTACTTCGAGAACGGTGAGGGTGCAGGACATCCGGCTTTTCCGAGAAGTAAAATGCCCACGTGGCTATAGGAAATGATACCCAGCCCCGTACGCATTTTTTGCGGTTGTTTTATCCGTTCACCGCTCGATGAAATGTGTATTTTTTGTTGGCATCGGCCGCGCTAACCTTGCTGACCAATGGACATGCGTCAGTCTCAGTGTGTGCGTGTGTGTGCCTTTGGTATTTCCTTCGACCGCGCTAACTGGCTGGCCAATGTGTGTGTTTTTTTTATTAGCATCGACCACACTAACCGGCTGACCAATGAAAAGGTGTCAGTGCCAGCGGGTAAAAATCAAGGTCCCTGGGAGGGGGCCAAAATTTGAAAAATGCGAAATGCGCTAAAAATGCAAATGCGAATACGACTCTCTCTACATATTCTTTCACGTAGACACACATCTCAGCTACACAAAAGCCCTCGCCCGAACCAAGGAAGCCACTGATGCAAAGAGCGGAGGACAGCAAAAGGGTTATTTCAAGCCCAGCCGAAGCCAGGATATCGTGGTATTATGCTGCATCTCCCAAGTTGATAATCGTACACTCCCAAGATCCAACAGTCATCGTGTCAGCAGCTAGATGACTCAAACAAAATAGCAACACATACACTGCCATAGCTCCACACATGCCCTCGCCCGAACCTAGGAAGCCACTGATGCAAAGAGCGGAGGACGGCAAATGGGTTATTTCAAGCACAGCCGAAGCCAGGATATCGTGGTATGCTGCATCTCCCAATTTGATAATCGTACACTCCCAAGATCCAACAGTCGTCGTGTCAGCAGCTAGATGACTCAAACAAAATAGCAACACATACATTGCCACAGCTCCACACATGCCCTCGTCCGAACCAAGCAAGCCACTAGGAAGTCACGAGGGGGCCAAGTCCTTCTCGCAGGTTCTCTTGACTTTCCTTCAGGTGAACACGTCCAGGAATCCAGTATCCGCAGCCGCCACAGTAGTACTGCTGTACTGTGTAGTAGTAGCAGGAAATCCAGGCTGTACCCACCCGTTGTCCAAGCAAAGATTTGTGATTCCGTGAGAGAAGGAGATACCACCGCCGTCGAAGGGTCGAAGGCACTGTCTGCCAGATGTAGGCTGTGAGATAGATGGTGCCACCTATGTGTTCTTAGCCTGCCCGCCCGTGAGGGTCGTGAAGAGGCCGTCATGTGTGTGTGTGTGTGTGTGTGTGTGTTTTGAATTAGGGCGCTCGTGATCGCTTGCTTGCAACGCCCGCCGCGCTTCCCTCGGATACATTCCCGGCAGCCACTGCTGTCATTGCCTCTTTCATGTATGTGCGTCCCGTCGAACTGTTGACCTTTGCTGCCCTTCCTTCATCAACTCTTCACGGGCCCATCGAGAAGGGTGGCGTTGACGCGCGCCGGGGTGCTGAGGAGGCGGTGACACTCTGATGCCACCCCCCATGCCCTCGCCTTCTTTTTGCCTGCTATGCATACGAACAGTCATTATGGTGTGCACAGGAGCGGGCATCACTCCAGCGATCTGTCTCGCCGACATGTAAGCTCTTCCACCTCTTGTAGCCCCAAACGGATTGGAAAGGCCTTGTGTACTGAGTTCGGGTTTCACTTGAGCCTCGTGGGCGGGTGTTACGGGAGAGATCAACACGGTCGCCTTGTCCGATTCACCCTCCGTGTACAATAACTGCGTGTTGTTCTCGCCTGCTCCATATCGTCCTCCCTTGCGTCCGTGGGGCAACTGTCTGTGATAGGGTTCTCTGTTTGTTGTGAAGCAGACACTCCAGTTGTTCGCGCCCGAGCTTGAGTCGGCAGCCTGCTGCTACTGCTGCTGCTGCTGATGCCATCGTTACTGTTGCTGTGTAACCAACACAACAAATATCTCGCCACGGCATGAGTACACGAGGCACCTCGCTCCGCTCTGTGAGGGCTGGACCGTTTGGGCCACTCGCAACCACGTGCGTCATGTCCGCGCGCAACAGGCTGCTCGCTCTCCATTGCACGCTAAATTATCTGATTATCTGCCGGATTCATTCACGCCACCGCCCTCTCCCCAGGCTATCGAAGAAGAAGAACGTGCACCTCATGTGGCTATCCCGGGAGGCCGGCATGGTCGCGACGTTCGAGAAGCAGGTGCGTGCGTGCGCGCGGCACAGCACAGCGTGCATCGATGCGCAAACAAGCGAAGAGTTAGGGCTGCTGCTGCTGCTACTGCTGCTGCTGCTGTCGCGCCCTCACCTCCGCAAGTGTTGCGTTGACGGTGTTCCGCAGGAGGTTCTTGCTCGGTAGCCGTTGTTCAGGCCGCTTCCCAGCCACTGGTTCTTCGATTCAATACTCAACTAGGTTTTTGTGACATTGTTTGGTCCGGTACTGTAGCGGCATACGTGTCAAGTGTTTTTCTGCCCAAAGTGGCAGACGGTAGGCCTCGTTTCAGGGATAATACCCCCGACGCGCTCGACTCAGTAGTCTACACGTCCACACAGGGTTATCGAAGCAAACATACTGGACAACGTAAAGAATCGGCTATGTTGGGGCTAGGGCCTGCGTGCCCCCTACCTGACCGTACTAAGCTTACGTTGGCACTTTCACTTGACTTCACTCCGACCCCCCCCCCCCCCCCCC